TTGTTATTCCAAGACTGCACACCTTATTTGGAATACTGGGTATTCCCCAAGACTATATATCCATTCTGGAATTTGGGTGAATATTTCCTAGAGAGATAGCTTTCTTTGAGGACTATTTGACTGCCTTTTGAATGAATGTGAGTGAACTTGTGCCTTTTCTAAAGCCCATTGGGACAGTTTAGATATTCTTCAGTCCCCAACTGGTCAGAAAACTATCTGTGCTTACAGAATTCAAAGTCAACCTCTGACCTCTCAAATACTAGTGCAGCCAGCATCATAGGGACACTTCCCCTGCCTCTCACCCTTTCTTCCTCCATGCCACTCTTTGACACCTCAACCCATCCCCCAAATGCCTCTACTCATTCATTCAAGTCTCCCCTCATTCAATTCCCCGCTCCACTGTGCTGATAATTTATGTTTTGACTTAAGATGTTCCGTATGGGAAATTCTTGATGCTTAGCATGGTTCCATGTTTAAAATACTACACAAGTGGGTTTAAAATACTACACAAGTGGGTGTACTATGAACAACAGTGTACTATGATCGGGAAGACTTGAACTGAAGTCCCACATCTGCAATTTATTAGGGGTGTGTGTGTGTGTGTGTGTGTGTGTGTGTGTGAGAGAGAGAGAGACAGAGAGAGACAGACAGACAGAGACAGATAGTGAGAGACAGAGAGACAGAGACAGTGAGAGACAGAGAGAAATAGATACTGGGGATTGAACCTAGAGATACTCTACCAGAGAGCTATATCCCAGCTTTTTAAATTTTTTTTTCAGATAGGGTCTTGGTAAGCTTCCCAGGCTATTCTCAAACTTGTGATCCTTCTGTCTCAGCTTCCTGAGTCACTGAGATTACAGGCATGTACCACTACACCTGTCTGCAATTTATTAGCTCTGCCACCTTGGGCAAGGTAGCCTCTCAGACCCTGTTTCTTCATAAGTGAAATGATGGCACAGCCAGCACAGTGTCTGCCTACAACTGATGCTCCATTAATTGTAGCAATTATGGTCAGTGTGTCTCAAATTAAGCTTTTGTTTTTTTCTTTTTCTTATTTATTTGGTATTGGGGATTGAATCAAAGGGTACTTTACTACTAAGCTATACCCCCAGTCATTTTTTTTAATTTTGAGACAAGGTCTTGCTAAGTTTCTTAGGATCTCAGTAAGTTGCTGAGGCTGGCCCCAAACTTACAATCCTCCTACCTCAGCCTCCCCAAGTCCCTGGGATTGCAGGCCTGCACCACTTCACCCAGCTTCAGCTTTTTCTGTTTTTTTGGTACCAGGGATTGAATCCAGAGGTACTTAGCCACTGGGACACATCCCTAGCCTCTTTTTAATATTTTATTTAGCGACAGGATCTTGCTCAGTTGAGTGCCTCACTACGTTGCTGAGGCTGGTTTTGAACTCGAGATCCTCCTGCCTCAGCCTCTGAAGCTGCTGGGATTACAGGCATGTACCATCATGCCCAGCTTCAGCTTGTTTTTTAATTGAAGTATAATGAGTGAACAATTCAATCACAGCTCTGATAGTAATCTTAACCCTTTTTCCCATCCCTCTTCAAATTACCTGGATTTCCCTGCCTCTGTTTTCACCTAAGGGACTCACCCATCCAAAGAGCTGTTTTACTTCTGCCCTGTACCTGTTTTCCCGGCAGTGTCCTCCCAATCCTGGCCAATCCAGCTTATTTCTCTCCCCTTTTTACCTCATCCTCCCTTGGAATCTTGGGATGGGTAACAATAGTTTAGGAAAAATTAACAAGGCAATGAAAGATCAACCCAGACTCTTCCTGGACCAAGAAAGCTCTGGGTGGCACAAAGAGCAGATTAATATGTCAGGGAATTCCAATATCAATTAAGCTATTGATTCAAGTATTTTTTTCTCAGATAACTTTTCTGATGACCTATAAATATAGTCCCTTTGTTCAGTCTACTGCACACAGCTTAGTGCAAACACCAGCCTGTGTCATAAAGTTAACAATATACTTTGATGAGGATCATCTCCCACCTAAAGTAGGAAGAAGTGGGATAAGGGAGTGGGTTTGCTTGGATAGTTTTATTGGCTAGCCCTTTGAAAATAATAATGGGCATTGTATACATGTTACCACCACTGAAATCCACCAGTGGAGCCCCATGCCATAGCCAAAGATGTTGGCTATTTGGTGGCATAACTGTACTGGAAACCTAGATGCAATCAAGGCCTTCAGACTGGGTTTGGCTGGAGCTTTGGCTAGGGTGTTGGTGCCAGGTACCTGGTTAAGAGAAATATCCTGAAGCAAATAATAATTACCTTCTTTGCTGATAAGAGGGCCCAGTACTTTTCCAGTAGCGTGATTGCATTAGGATACTTCTTTGGACCACAGCCTGTGGAACACTGATTTATGGGTACTGGCCTTAACTTTATCCAAACTATTGTATATTTGGTGGAACCCAGTGTTCTCCTTGTGGTCCCCTGTTTATATAAATAACATGTGCTGTTGCATCACCTATCCCTTTTCCTGCCTAGGTTGCCCTTGTAGATGTAATTCTGCTTCTGTCCACCAGGTGGCCTCACTTAGGTAGGAGCGAAAGGAGCTAGAAACACCTCAAGTCTCCCATGCCTTTTTTTTTTTTTTTTAAGTTTGAAGCTGAAAAGAATGAAAATATGTTTTGATGGAAACATATATAACTCTTATTAGGCAACAATCATATCATTTTCCTTGTGGCCCAGAGTCCTCTTTCCATGAAATACCTTCTACTGCTATATGCATGGCTGGACCATCACATGGCAGGTGTTTTCCTGGGTGGTTTATATAGTAGTTTTCTTATCCTTTGCTCTTCATAGGAAAGTAACAAATTTTCTTATGTTTTTATTGTGCATTATAGTTATACATAATATTGAGGTTCCTTCTGATATATGGTGGAAGAAAGTAACAAAAAATTGTTTCCTTTTAGTTATACATAACATTAGGATTCATTTTGACATAATTATACAAGCATGGAATATAATTTGCTCCAATTCAGTCCCTAGTACTTCCCTTTTCCCTCCCTTATACCCTCCCTCTGTTCCCTTCCTTATGCACTCACCCTGTTCCCTTTACTTAATTTTTAAAATTAGTGCCTTGTAGATAAACATAATGGTGAGATTTACTTTTTAAAAATAGGGACATGAGATCCCGGGTTATGTTGAACGTATTTTATTTACAGAGTAAGGTGGGGAGACCAAAGAGAAAAGGGGTAGTATCTGTGGTCATTCCTGTGCCCACTCTCATACCCTATCTCTTCTCCACCTCCTCTATTGCCAACCTAGCTGCCTCCCCATACATATTCATCCACTCTTGTACACCCTCTCCTCCATACACATGCATAAACAGATTAATGCAGACCTCTGTGCGCATTCCTTGCATGTCACCAATCTGTGAACCTGTCAGTACACAGGTAGATACTCCCACACCTGTAAATTCTAAGGAAGAAATGGACGGATGGGTTTTGGAGTTTGGAGCAGGCTGGTAGCCAAGTCAGGGGACAGCTGCATTAGTAAGAGTGAGTGTGCAGGTGACACGGCATATGTGCTGGGGGGAGACTGAAAGAGCAGTCAGAAGGAGAAAGTAAGGCTTCTGATGGTGAGGGTGGGCATGCGTGGAGTGTGACAATGAGAGCATTGCAAAACCGTCAGGGTACTCTGGCTGACACCTTGGAGAAGTGCTTTTAAAAGCAGCACCGCCCTCTACTGAGTGCTTTCTGCCTCCTGTTAGGCTGTTGTTTCTCATTTCTTTGCAAAACAGCTCCAGTTTGGTTTTTACCAATCTCCAGAGTCCTCTTTGGAGATGCCAGTTGGCACAAGAAAGTGCTGAACTGTTTACAGTCCCAGTCTAAGGTTCAGGAAGGGGATGTGGTTTTACTGGGCCACAAAGCCCGGTACAGGACTCATTTGCATGGCCCCTGACGCCATGTGACGCAGCCAGCTCCTCCTATATAAAGAAGCAGGAGCCGAAATATCTCTGAGTCTGGGTTGGACTGGAGGCAGTGGAGTTTGTGACACACTAGGTGACACCCCTCGAGGCACTTCCCTTCAACTCCAGCTGGAGCGCCTGTCTGGCTTTGGGTCCGCTCCGCTGCCTTCACCCCCCTCCTAGCTCCAGGGCCAGACTCCAGCGCGGAGCCCAGCCCGGTACAGCTTGCCAGCAGCCAGCGGCTGCCCAGCCCGCCCAGGCAGGCCCGAAGCACTGCCCGAGCTCCCCGGCAATCCGAGCCATGAACACCGAAATGTATCAGACCCCCATGGAGGTGGCGGTCTATCAGCTGCACAATTTCTCCATCTCCTTCTTCTCTTCCCTGCTTGGAGGGGATGTGGTTTCCGTTAAGCTGGATAACAGGTAACGACTGGCCCCAGCTCCAGCCTGGCGCTGGCGGGGGCTGGGCTGGGAGCTGGATCTCTGAGCGAGCCCTGCGCTGCCGGCCCCAGTTCCCTGTGGTGCAGCATCCTGGGAAGGGGCGGGGGTAGGGGACGCAGGAAGGGGGGTCACCACCGCGCTGGGATCCGCCGTCTGAGCGTCCCTGCGGCTGCTGCGCCCTGAGAACCAGCTGCTGCAGCCGCAGAGGCAACCAGAGGCAGAGGGATCCCCAGCGGGCAGGGGTGCACCACCGGGGAGAAGGACGGAAGCTTCTGAGCAGAGAAGAAATTCTTAGCTGGGTTCTCAGCCTGGTAGGTTTGCCTGGGACCTTTTGGGCCTGCGGCGGAAGCCTTCCTAGACCTGGCGCCCTCATTGTTTGTGTATCCCTGGGCCACGCTGGCCCATGCGCCCCAGGACCCGGGCTGCTCAGGGCGGCAGCGCTGAGCTAGCCTGGGTGGGGAGGTGCAGCTTCCTGCAGGGGCCAGAGAAGGACCCGCTGCCAAACTGCCTGGAACTCCAGGCCAAGGAGGCAGGGGAGACCCAGGGCAGATGGAAGACTTTGGTCACAACTGCCAGGTACTCAGAGTGGAACCGAGAGAGTAACGGGTCGCTTTGCTTTTGTCTTGACAGTGCCTCCGGAGCCAGCGTGGTGGCCATAGACAACAAGATTGAGCAGGCAATGGTGAGTGGCATCACTGCGTCATTCCCATCCCCAGACTTTGCTGCTTATGTAACTCTGGGCAGAACTGAGGGGGTGGGCACAAAAGCTGTTAGCCAAAGGCCTGAGAAAGTCAAAGCCAGATTCCTGTCCTCCCTGGAGACATTTGGTAAAGTCTGGTTAGAGTGACAGCAGTCTGCCCTCCCCCCCCCCATCCCAGGGCTTTGCTGCAGCCTCTGGCTCCCTCTTGGGCTGCTGCAGGGCAGGGAGCTGAGACTCTTGTATTTGTATCCTGCAGTTGGCATGGGCCAGAGCTCATTGGATGCAATTGCACTGCAGTGCCTCTGCAGAGACTGGGCTGGGGTCAGAAGTTGGGAGGAAATAGAAAGCCAAGCACCCCACATCATCTCCCTCTGCCTACCAGGTAGAGGTCAAACTTCACTGAGCAAGCAAAATGGCTATAGGGGCTCGGGGCTTCTCACAATTAGAAGCCCTTTAATTGTGCTCTGAAGCCTAAACGGCACACTTCCCCACCCCTAGTGTAATCAGTCATCAAATTCAGAGAGGATGGAGCAATCTCTACACCCCCCACCAGCAAATGCCTGTCCAACCAGGCTGCAGGCCAGCTGCGACTCTAGTGTGCTGGGTCCTGTGAAGGGGAAGAGACTCCCAAATAGCCATTTTTATTTCTTTGGTGAAGATTTGTAAAGGAGACCAACAAGATGGGGTGTGCTGCAGGTCCCCATGGACCCCTGATTTAGACCAGCAGCTGGGCAAACCAGCAACCAGTAGAATTCTCACTCCAAAAGTTCCTACAACAGCCAGACTTGAAAATCTTTAGGAACTTGCAGGAAAGTGGACCTTTCTTGTTCAAAACCTGGCTCCCAACTCTGGCAAGGCCCAAATTCTACAGTACTCCTGTGTGAAGGTTTTAAGTGCTTCAGAGAAGAGCTAGGAGGAATTGGGCTTCAGGAGCAGCATGCTGAGGGAAGGCTTCAAGGCAGTAACATGAAAGCTAGGGCAGGCAGGCAGCCCCATGGCAGGGTGAAGGTGCTGCAGAGGGGCCTCAATAGCTTAAGAATCTCTTTGTGTGGGTTCCTCCTTGGCAGGATCTGGTGAAGAATCACCTGATGTATGCTGTGAGAGAGGAGGTAGAGATACTGAAGGAGCAGATCCGAGAGCTGGTGGAGAAGAACTCCCAGCTGGAGCGTGAGAACACCCTCCTGAAGACCCTGGCGAGCCCCGAACAGCTGGAGAAGTTCCAGTCTCGGCTGAGTCCTGAAGAGCCAGCTGCCCAATCCCCACAAGCACCTGAAGCCCCCGGTGGTTCTGCGGTGTAAGTGGCTCTGTCCTTAGGGTGGGCAGAGCCACGAAACCTGTTCTACCTAGTTCTTTCCGGTTTGTTTTTGGCTCCCCAAGCATCATCTCACGTGGAGAACTTTACACCTAGCATAGCTGGTGCCAAGAGATGTCCCAAGGACATGGCCACCTGGGTCCACTCCAGTGACAGACCCCTGACAAAGAGCAGGTCTCTGGAGGCTGAGTTGCATGGGGCTTCAAAACCCCAAGCCAGTGAGCCTCTAATGCCACTGCGCCCTGGGGGCTCCCAGGGCCTGGGCAACTTAGCTGCAACTGGCAAAAGGAGAAAGGTAGTTTGACATGTGATGCCAGTTTGCTCCAGAATGTATAAAGGGGTCTGTTTTTCATTTCCATGGACATCTTCAACAGCTTCACCTGATGACTGTTCTATGAAGAAGCCACTTGTGTTTTAAGCAGAGGCAACCTCTCCCTTCTCCCCTGCCTCGCCAAGGCAGGGGGCACAGATGGGAGAGATTGAGCCAAGTCAGCCTTCTGTCGGTTAATATGGTCTAATGCATGGCTTTGTGCACAGCCCTGTGTGGGATTACAGCTTTGGGATGAGCGCTTACAAAGTTCTGTTTGGTTAGTATTGGCATAGTTTTTCTATATAGCCATAAATGCGTATATATACCTATAGGGCTAGATCTATATCTTAGTGTAGCGATGTATCCATATATACATACACCTACATGTTGAAGGGCCTGACCAGCTTTGGGAGTATTGACTGGTCCCTTATCTCTTAAAGCTAATTCTTTGACTGTGCTCATTTACCACGTCGATCCAGTTTGTCCTTTAGATTAAGTAAAACTCAAGAGTAAAGGCAGGGAGAGGAGGGCCAGCCCTCAGAATGCGGCCACAGATGCCTTGCTGCTGTACCCTTTCTTTCCCCAACTCTCCACTGAAGACATGTGAAATCCTTTTTCGAATGCCAAACCCACCATTCACTGGTGCTGACTACATAGAATGGGGTTGAGAGAAGATCAGCTTGGACTTCACATTGTCATTTGAGAACTTTTTTTTTTTATTTTGGTGGAACACTTTCAATTGAACAGATAGATGGCATCCTGATGTGGATGAGGGGTGGATGAGGGAATGACTTTGATCCCATTGGGGCCTGAGGGATGTGCCCAGGAAATTTGTTTCCAAGGGGGTTCTGTGACAGTGAACTTTCCACTTTCTGACACCTTATCCTGATGTATGTCTCCAGGATTTGGATTTTGATTTTTCAAATGTAGCTTGAAGTTTCAATAAACTTTGCTCTTTTTTTTCTAAAAATAAACTTTGTGTCTGAGTATAAAGAGACGAGGCAATGGAGGCCCTCATCCAGTGGGGGTGGGGGAGGCTGTTTTTCTGATCAAGCAAATATTTCTTGAGCACCCCTAAGGGCCAGGCCTGTGCTACGTTCATGGTCATGTGTCATCCACCTAGCCTCCATATAAAGGACATGTTCTCACTGTTGGTAAGCAAGCTAAGACTTGGTGAGTTGAAGTGACTTGCCCAAAGTTAACTAACACAGCTGCTATGCAAATTTATCTCAAACTCCCAGCTGTCCCTCTGTCCTGGTCTAGCTTTCATATTAGAGCTTCAGAGTGAGTGTTCAGGTGTCTACTGATGCCCAAACTCAGCTTCAGTGGGTGATTTGGGAGGAAGGATATCCCCCAAGAAGGACCCAAAGAAAAGAGCAGGATATATGTGTGAAAGAGCAAGGAGAGAGGAACCAAATAAATAATGACTGGATTTTCTTCTAAAATCACCATACCACAGTGCATTCTCCTTAATATCAATCCACACATGACATTTGGTCTTGGCTAGAGGGTCTTAGAAAAAGACAGGGAATTTGGAGGTGACAAAGCCACATCGCTGTTCCCTGCTCCTCCCACCCTGCCCAAAGAAAGAAGCCTTCAATCCCTGATTCTCCACTGTGAAAGTTCATTCACCAAATGCACAGGCAGTGTTGGAAGAGTAGCTTCTGACCCCAGCTTCCCTCTTTCACCTCTTTTTGGGGTTCATGATCACCCACTACCATTTCCTGGCCCTACTTCTCTACCATTTCTTGCTGTTTCTATGATTGGCTATGGATGAGCATTTAGTGTTTCCTCTATCATGCCCCAAAATGGACCCACCCTGGTCCCTGAGCTTTGTAAGTCCACTGTGTTCCCAGGGGAGACCATCACCCCTATTAGTGACTCCCTTCAATCTGAGCTTCCTGTAGCATGAGCCTGCTACCTAACCCTTGGCCACTTGTGACTGATCAGCACTCCTTGATTTTCCTCAAGCATAAACCTCAAGGTAACCAAGATTTCTTGGCCCCTTCCCTTTCACCAGTCATTGCCTAAATGTAATCAAAATCACACGTTTTTTGTTTGTTTGTTTTTTCCTGTCAGGTTCATCCACATGGCCTTTTCTTTTCCAATCACCAAGACCCTTCTTTAGAATTTTGCAAACCCTTGGTTGCTGGCCTATCAAATCCCAGTTTCCCTACCCATTTCCAATGCTGCTACTCATGATGCCAAGTTCGTCATCTACACCTGCAAATTTGATCACGACATGAAGATTGCACAGCTACTGAAAGTTCACCAACTTTGGCCTAGTGCACTGGAATCCCCCAGGCAGCCACGCCCAACCTGCCCAGGTTCTCCCAGTACCCACCCCCGCCCCAACTAAGATCAGGGATCTGTGCACTGTTTACACCTGGTTTCCAGCTGAACAACAATGAACAGATGAAAAAAGGAAACCCAGAAAATAACTCAGCAATACTCCAAACCTCTCTGGACATCAAGTCCTTTCTGTACAAGAAAGGGGAAAAAAACATGTCCCATAGTCACATAGTGGTAAAGAGAGAACAATTTTGTTTCCTAGGCAACCCCGACCAAACAGAGACAAACACTGTGACTTCTGAGGCCACAGCGGTTACATGACTAGATAAGAGGAACTTCAGATGTTTGTTGTTCACATATAGAAGCAAGTCCTTGTTGTTTTTCCACACAAAATGACTAGGCATGGAGAAAGGCCAAAAAAACATATTGTTCTTGGACTTTTGTGGCCTTTGGGGTTCTGGGCTCAGCTGGTTCTGCTGGACGCAGAACAAGAAAAAGAACAATGAGACCTGTAGCAGTAATCATCCCCTCATTGGGCATACCATCTCACCTTGTGCCCTCTAATCTACTGCCTCATAGGATCTCAAAGGCAGCCCCTCCAAGCATAGCGACAAGGATGGAAAGAGCACCTCTTTGCAGCCCACCCACAATGTGGAACATTCTGTTTCCTGCCCTTCGAATGAGGCAGTTATGATTTACCTCCATTTGACAGACAAGAAAACTGAGAGCCAGATCCCATCGTTCCCACAGATCCCATGGGGCAATGGTTCCTCTTTTGAATGTCAAAAATATCCTCAGACTTCCCCCAACTCCATGATAGTAGAACTTTTAGTGTTTTTTGAGAGAGAGAGAGAGAACATCGTGACAAAAAGTGCTGAATTCAGTCGGACTTTTAAAAGAATTGATTGCATTTGTCACAAAAATATAGACATGGGTTTGAAAACTAAAACAGTAATGCATATGTTCATTAGCTATATGTGTGTGTACACACAATTTCAAAACATCATGTTGTATACATGATGTTTTAAATAAATACATACAATTTAATAATTTTTTTTTTTTTTTTAAGACAAAGCTAGAACAGAAATCCGGGGATAGAATACTTATGTAAAAAAAAAAAAAAAAAAAAGGACCAGGGCTCAGTGGCAGGGCACTTGCCTAGCATGTGTGAGGCACTGGGTCCCATGCTCAGCACCACATAAAAATAAACTAAATAAAGTTACGTGTTCATCTAAAACTAAAAAATATTTTTTTTTTAAAAAAAAAGGACTTTTAGGCTGGAGAAACCACAGGGGAAGATGCTCCTGAGAGAGAAGTCATGGAGAGAGCAGATGAGGAGACAGGGCCATTGGGGCCAGGAGTGAAAGGAGAAGGACCTCTGGAAAGACTATAGGAAGGAAAATGCATGACCCTCTGGTATTTGGAAGTTATCTTAACATCATCCTACTTAGTCTGGAAAATATTGCTTTTAAATCTCATTTCTCCTCCTAGTTGGTTAGAAGTTAATGAACTAATTAGAGCTTTGTAGACAGCTCAGGTCCTCAGGTTTTCTCATACAGAGAAGGTTGTTGGAATACAAACAATACTTAAATACCTCCACTAGATCAGGAAAGGATTAACAGAGAACCCCATCAGTTAGCTATTCCAAGCAGAATGGTTTCCAGAGAGGAGCTGGCTGGAAGGAGCAATGATCATAATAATTAATTATGATAACTATCTGGGCTAGGGCTATCACTCAGTAGTGGAGCACTTGCCTAACATATATGAGGCCCTGGGTTCCATCCCCAGTACCACAAAAAATTGTTTCCAATAATGCTAGCTATCGCTTACAAGGCACTTAATTGATGCCAGACATAATTCTAAGCTTTTTACATCTCTTGACTCTTTAACTCCTCTCCACAAACATATGAGAAATATTCTATTAAAATCCTCATTTTTCAGAAAATGAAAATGAGAAAATGAAAGCATTTATGGCACAGAGAGGTTAAGTAGCTTGCCCAAAGTCATACAGCTAGTGAATGGCACAGCCTCTATGTGGGAGGTGGGGGAAGATGAGATGGATGCATGGAGACACAGGATAAAGAATCTGAAACATTGCCTTAATTCCTCCTATGTAACCAGAAGTGTTCCAGTGGTGGTGGGCAAGAAAGGAGACCATTCCAGACAAGTAGAGGGACTAGCATAACAACAACAACAAAAAAAGATCAATGTGTCTGGGAGAAGTAGGGGTGAACACAGATTTGGAAAGGGGAGGTTAGGAAGTTGACTTTGAATGGCTCCCAGCCAAATGACTTGAGATAGCATCTAATAGGTCTCAGGGAGCCATGGTAGGCTTCTGAGCAAGGAAGTGATGTGATGTAAAAGATATTTGTAGAAGATGGGTCCTGGCAGCTGAAGAGGCTAGAACAGAGAAAAGCTAGCAGGCAGCCAGCTGCTGCTGTAATCCAGGTGTGAGGTGATGAGGGCCAGCCGGGGCAGGAATAAAGGGTCATGGAAAGGAAAGAACAAGGCCCAAAGACAGTGAACAGTGGTATTTCTCCAAGTGTGGTCTGCAATCCACCCGCATAGGGTTGATGGGAAGTTTAAAGTGTAGATGCCAGCTCCTAACCCCATACTACAGAGGTGGGTAGGGCTCAGGAATCCATAACTCTAATATATCCCTGGTGATGTGTAACTTGGGAAAGCTGGAGGACCCTCCACGAAGTAAAAAATCAGCATGACCTGATGGCAAAGTGAGTCAGGAGGAGGAGAGAGCAAAATAGCCACAAGTCAAGGATGTCATGAAAGTTTGTGTTTTATATATATATGAAATTTGCCTTATTTACTTATTTATTAATTTGTTTTTGGTATTGGGGATTGAACCCAGGGTATTTTACCACTAAGCCATATTGCCAGTCCTTTTCATTTTTTTTTTCATTTTGCTCAGGGTCTTGCTTAAGTTGCTGAGGCTGGCCTCAAACTTGATGTCCTCTTGTGTCAGTCTCCCAAGTCACTGGGATTATAGGTATGCGCCACAATGCCTGGTGAATTTAGCAGTTTCAAAGAATTCATCTCCCTTCTGAAAAAATGACAGCTTTTTCCTAAATCCCTGTTTCTATCAGTGCTTCCATGGTCTCCCAATCCTGTAGACTCAAAATTTTTCATGGAATCAGAAATTGAGGCATTAGGGATATTCCAGTCCAGTGGCGTTAAATATATTCCTACTGTTTATCCACCTATCTCCAGAACTTTGTCATCATCCCAATCTGAAGTTCTCATAAAACACTAACTCTTCTCTCCCTCTACCAGCCTCTAGTGCTATGAAAGTTTTAAATCTAGCCAACCATGGTGGTGCACTATGAGATTCCAGTGACTAGAGAGACAGAAGCAGGAGGATCACAAGTTAGAGGCCAGCCTCAGCTACTTATCGAGTCCCTAAGCAATTTAGTGAGATCCTGTTTTGAAAAATAAAAATGAAAAGAGCTAGGAATGTGGCTCAGTGGTTAAGTGCCCCTGGGTTTAATCCCTAGTACAAAAAAAAAAAAAAGGGAGGGAAAGAGGGAAACAGGGAGGGAAGATTTTGAATCTGGAGGATTGGGAGGCCATGGTAGCACTAAAAGAAACAGGGATTTAGAAAAAGGATGTGATTTTTCATAAGGGAGATGAATTCCAATTTTGATATCTGGCTGAGCTAAACATATTT